CCATGCAAGACCTTCCTGGCATTGGCAGAGGTTACTATAGGCATAGGACTTGGACAAGAGGGGCAGCAGGGGGTGCATGGACAGAGTTGGGTGGGGGTACCTCCCTGTCCTCTGCCTTGCTTTCCACCTCTTCAAGCATCAAACAGGCTCAGAGAAGTCAAAAACCAGTCGCCCCCAAGAGCCAGGCTTTGGAAGGTGGTGCACACAGTAGCTGTACAGGGAGCCCCAAGGCCAGAGCATAGCATGTTCTGGAGCTGCAACGTCCCTGCATGCAGGCAAGGGGGGCGGGGATATGTGGGGTCTCACCAGCCCTATCTGCTCCATAGCCGGGCTGTGATTCTGTAATTCTCTCTGATTCCTTTCAGCTCAGTTTGCTGCTTTTCTGAAACAAAACGTGCTAGTGAGGAAAGCTCTTCCTCCTGGCACCTCTTCATGTCTCTTTGGTGAGTATCTCCTTGCTGCCTGTCTCTCTCTCTCTCTCTGCTCTCCTCCTCCATCGCTCTCCTGTCCCCATCGCACTGCCTTGTCAGGGTGGGGGGTTGTGGTGTGCATTCCCTCACCCTGCTCTACTTCCTGCTTTCTCATTGCTGCCCAGTGAACAGCTCCTTGCTAACTTATGCTCACTGACCCATGTTCCCTCATGTCCGGGGTAGTGACAGGTGTTTCTCAGCCACACAGCATCCATGGCATGGCCTGGCAGCTTCTCTTAGTCAGCAGTGTGTCCTGTTGTCAGCTGTGCTTGTGGTTACGGTGGAGCGTCCTTTCTGCAGGCGAGCCAGCAGGGACAGGTACTGCCTCGTGGCCTGGAAGGCAAGGAGCAGCTCTAGGGAAACAGTTGGTGGAATAGGAGCGGTAGAAAGAGTGAGTGTGCATGTCAGGGAAGCAGGAAGCCAAGGGGCTGGGTAGGACCAAGAAAGTCAGTGAGTCCTGACCGAGCTTGAGAACTTGGAGCTTGTGACCCCACCCCCCCTCAGTGTTTGATTGCTGAGTTTAAAGGGGGAAAGTTGTGTGTTGTATGTGAACAAGTAAGATACTTGGCTTGGCTGCTGGCAATGTCTGGGACTGGCCATCACAATGGAGGAGTGGGGTGGGGGTCTCCCAGCCTCATGTCCTGTGATCCCAGCATAGCAGGGGCCATTGCTAAGCTGGAGGCTGGTACTGGTTGTCGTCATGACTTGGGTTTGAGAGGTCAGTCACAATGGTGCAACCTTGTTGACCTCAGGGGCATTGAGAGATTGGGTGTGAGTGGTAGATCCAGAGGAGTTGGGCTGCAATGCCCAGGGTCTGTTTCTGATGTTGCTTGCTGTGGTGGCACATGATGCCTTGAGGCCACTGCTGGGGACTCGCAACAGGACAGGGGTGAACAGAAATGTGCTGGACGATGCTTGTGGTCTTGGCAGAGACTTCCTGCCCCCCTCATACCCAGTTGCAGACCAGGGCATGCCACAGGGTGGTTCCCTTAGCCCCCCAGCACACACTATGCCTGACAGTTTGGTTACCTCGAGAAGCAGGGCAGAGGCTGGGGGTTTCAGGGACTATTTTTATCATCAGTTCCTGCCCAAGAGAGCTTTGCAGTGTCCCCCAGATGTCAGCAGTGAGGTCACCCTGGGCATGTCAGCAGAAGAGTTCTGCACATTCTCCCCAACTCCTACTGCCCTGTGGAGCATTAGGACCGTGAGCACCACTACAAGTACATGTGCTATTCCACTACACATGGTCAGAGTTCTCCAGGCTCTTCTGCAAGGGGTTGACACCTGCTCTCAAGGGGTTAAATAATGGCAGTGGCTCTTTGGGACCGATCACATGTTGGGGGACAGAAGTGCTTTCTCACTGCTTCCAGCACTGCGTCCATTGGTGCTGTGTCCCATGGAAGGGGGTCAGTTCGGTCGCTGCTATCTGGTACCTTGTGGCACTGCTCCCTTGCTGCTTCCTCTGCTTTGCCCACACTGTCAGGAGCTGCCAAGGCCCTGGGATTTTCTGCTTCGTCTCCAGATCTCAGGTCTTGGGGCCAGTTGGAGCCATGAGTGGTGTGAGACCAGGGTGGGATGTGTTCCTGCTACCTCAAGTAGGAAGTGCCTATGGCCTCACGTTGCTGGGCTCCTGACATGTTCCCCTTCATTAGCAACCCTGAAGCCAGGGCTGAGGCAATGTCTGCAAAACAGGAACTGTGCCAGGCTGTGGGGAGTCCTTTGGCAGCACCGTTTGACAGATCATTGTGTGCGGGATGAGGGCTGCTCTATAAGGATTAGAGATCCTGGGGAGCCTTCCTTTGCCCCTATGCACTGTAGGGGAGGAGGTTGCAAGCTCCCAACCCTTCATGCACCCCACATGCCCACTGAAGTAGTTTTCTTCAGTGTCAGGCTCAGATCTCTCCTGGGACCCAGCTCAGTGCCCACAGCTATGGTGCTGTGGGATGGCACCCATCCCACAGAGGCCTGTCTCCACCTCCCCTGCAAACCCAGGGGCCAGGAAAACAACATCCCTTCTTCCTTCCCAGGTCTGCAGACGTCAGGGGCCTGTATCTGGTATAGGGTGGCTTTGGGGTGAGGGGGGCACTGATTAACATTTGGCTGCATTCCTGTGGGCATCGGGGCCCAGGCCCAAGCCACCAAGGCATCAGTGCAGACTGGTTGGTGATCAGGGGGCTGGTGGTGTGGCCTCGCCTTCCGCCATGAACCAGCCAGGCTGCTCCGTATCCCTGGACTCCCTGCGGGGAGGTGGGTATGGAGAGGGGATGCTGCTTGTGTATGGGGGTCTGGCAGCCTGGGACACTAGAACAGAACTGGGGCAGCAGCTGTGACTTAGGACGTGTCTCTCCTCAAGCTCTGGGTGCGAGTTCCCCAGGGCTTGCAGGGGGCTTTGACAGTGAGCAGTGCCTCTGCCTGAGGTCCTTGTGCCTTGTTTGTCAACAGAGAGACCAGGAGTGTCCAACTAACGTTGTGCCTTGGGTCAGATCTGAACCTGGGGCCAGTAGAAGTGGAGGCACCACGCAGAGCATTTGGGTCTGTGTTAGCAGGAGCCAGAGGAGACCAGAAGCCATGTGTTTGATGCCCCTGCCTTAGAGCACTCTGGGGGGCATAGAAGATGGTGTGGGGGGCTGGGAAACGGCCGCTGGAGCATACTGGGAGTGGCAGAGCCATGCTTGAGCACGTGTCCCTCTCCCCTATGCTGTGGCCACCAGTTCCAGGCCTCCCATCTGTGTCCTCCAGTGCCCGTCTCAGCTGAGCAGCAGGATGGGGCCGACAAGGACGAGGCACGCCTGCAGCTGAAGCGGCACCAGACCCCCAGCCCCACCCCGTGCGGCAAGGCATCCAAGCGGGCCAAGATTAAGGTGACCATTGTCTCCCATGGGGACACAGCCAGCACCGGCACCCAGGCGGAAAGTGAGTCCCGACACCCCCTGCTCTTGCACCCTTCTGGTAGTGGGGGCACCCCACAGCCCCAGCTCCCACCTGTGGCCCCACATCCATCCCATCTCAGAGGGCATCTGAGCTCTGGTGGGCAGTGGAAGGCACCGGAGCTGGGAGAGCCTCACGTGTTGTATTTTCCTTTGGCAGTGGCTGCAGGAAAGCCCCTCACCATGACTGTTGGCCAGGCTGTGCCAGGCGCCAAGGAGCTGTCAGGACTCCTTGCCACCCCCAAGTGAGTGCCGCAGGGTCTGTTGGGGTCTGTTTCTCAGGGAGGTGGCTTTGGTCTGGGAGCCCTAGAGCCTGGGGCAGCTCTGTGATCACCCCTGGAGAGGTAGAGCTATGAGCCAAGACATTGCCCATACCGTTGGCTCCAGAGATGGGGGGCATTTGGGTGGGGTGCCCCAGCATCACCAGGTACTGTATCTTCTGGCATACCACACATTCCCTAAAGAAGATCCTCACCTTGCTTGGGGAGGCAAAGGGGAGCAAAAGAGATTGTGTTGTTCAGAGGCTCTGAGGAGGTAAAACCTGTGCGCTGAAGATTGCGCCTCGCTGCTTCTCTGCCCGAGGCCAGCGAGAGCGGCACAGACCCATCAGGCTTTACTACCTCCCTGTGCTTTAATATGGGTACAAAAATCAACTTCCCCTGCTTCAGGCAGCCCAACACCCCCCACCCCCCCGGCCACAGTTTTGGAGGGCTGATGTGCCAAAGGGGAAGGTGTGCGTGGTTTGCAGGTAATTACAGTAGAGAGGGTGCTGCTGATAGGTACAGCCCCGAGACTGAAAGCCTAGCTGCACAGATGCAGGCTCCTTTTGAAGGCCTGACACCTTGCTGCTCAGTGCCCGGTGCCTTGCAGTTTGTGGCTCATCATTCTCCCCAGGACTGGGGTGAAGGGCAGGGAGTCATTAGTCGTTAGCTCTTCCTCATCTTCAGCCTTGATGTGCCATGCTGCAGCTTGAGGCCGTTGTTCCTAGTCCTGTCCCCTTGCAGCTGCAGAGAAGAGCCCCCATCTCCATCCTCTGTCATCACCCTTAGGGTGTTTGAAGGCTGGTAGCACAGCCTGGCCATGCTATTAAGCTAACAAGGGGTGCCTCATGGAGGCCTCTGTCCCACCCCCTTGGGAATGGAGCTCATCAGGGTGGCTCTGTCTTGCTTCCCAGGCTGAGCTCGGCAGCAGAGACCTCAGCCATCAGCCCAACCCCCTCAGCTGTGATCCCCAGCAGCACAGCGCCCAGCGCCTTCCACACCCTCCAGAGCCGGTTGGTGGCCAGCAGTGCCCACTGCCTGCAGACCCAGCCCAGTGGCTCCCTCCAAGGTACCTGCCTCTCTCAATTTGGTGGTGGGGGAGGGGCCATTTCCCAATGGGGGAGCAGCAGGGGGGAACCTTCTTGGCTGGTGGGCCACAAGTTAATCTCTTTATCCTTTCTGAGTGCCACTCCAATCCCCTTTTCCTGCCTGATCTGCTTTCTGCTCTCTGCCTGTGCTCCCTGCTCCATCTGCTGTTCTGCTTTCTGCTCCCTGCCCCATCTGCTGCTGTGCTGCCCATCCCCTCCCCATCGTCCTGCATGTCATGCACGGCAGCCTCCCATGCCACTTGTGGCACATGTTCCATAGATTGTCCACCCCTGCAATAGAGAGCAACGGTTACATTGGCTCCTGGGCAGATCCAACCGTCCTTGCAATAGCAGCCAATTCTACATGCCACACACAGGTTTTTCATTCAAACTTTCCTGTATTCCTACCCCTTCCTCTGAGCAAACTCTGGGCCAAACCATAGGGAAGCTGAGAACTCATGAGTTGTGTGGTGTGTGGTCAGAGTCTGTCCCTGGTGGGGAGTTTATCAGCATTGGCATGGCCTGTCCTATTTATCTCTGTTCATTTCTGTCTCTGTGCAAGTCAGGCTGAGCCCATCTCTGGGATCAGCACCCCATGAGGGGAACTCAAGTAAGGCACCAGCCCCGAGGGCTTTGGGGTATAAGGGCTCCCTGACAACTCGGCACCTTGGCTTTGAGCCGGCAGGGACGGCCGAGTGTTCTCTGTAGGCTTGGGCACTCCAGCACCAAGCCACATCCTGCTCCTACAGAAGACTATGGGACCTTTCCAGTGGTGTCAGGAGGAGCTGAGGGGTAGGCTGGTCATCTGTCATTGTGCCGGGGCCCCTTCGAGGCTGCGCTCATGGCCAGAAGCATACGTGAGAGGCTGCAATCTGTGGGCCAGCCCCAGTGATCACCTCCTAGCTCTGTTTCCTTCCAGGTGCTGCCTCAGCTAGCAGCCTCCTGCAGGGCTTGAGCTTCAGCCTGCAGGACATCAGTACCAAGGCTCCAGCCCTCCCAGTCAGCAGTGCGCCCCCGGGGCCACCTGCCCAGGTAAGCCCCCATCTGGGAGGGGAGAGTTTGGGGCGGGAGGTCATGGGTGCCACGGCATCCTTCCAGATGCCTTCTCTGGCTCAGACACTGAGTACAGAGGTAGCGGAAGAAGGGAAGGAGGAGAAGGACCTGCTACAGCCTGGGTTTTCTCTGAATTGGGGTGCAGAATACTGTGGGGCCCACAGGCTTCAGCTGCCTGCTGCCATGAGACCCTAGACTAGATGAGAGGAAGATGTAGGGAGGGAGCCACCTCTTTCTGGTGCTTACAGCTCTTCCTGGCTTCCCTTAGCAGGCCTCAGCTGTGAAGACGCCCGCGGCCCTCCAGAACCTGGGTACCATCACCACGGGTGCGGGGACCATTGTCCGCACCATCCCTGTGGCCACGTCCCTGGCACTGGGAGCCTCTGCAGGGGGGAAGCCCACAGCCATCCACCAGCTGCTGACCAATGGGGGCCTGGCCAAGCTGGCCAGCAGCCTCCCTGGGCTGGCCCAGATCTCTAACCAGGCCGCAGGTGAGAATGGAATCCCTGTAGCTGGCATGATGGCCTTTTTTTTTTTTCTCTGGCAGGGGTCAATCTGAGGCTCTCTGAATGTGACCGTCAGTACTGGGCCAAGCTGAATCTCATGGGTCAGTCTGTGGGTGTGCTCTGGAGTGTGCCAGCTGCCCACCTGGCTTGTTGGCTCTCTGAGGTGCCTCCCAAGCTTGTAGCCCTTTGTTCCATGTGGGCTCTCGCCAGGGCATGTCTTGCTCCCCACATTTGTGACTTACTTTGCCTCCCTGTGACCTATGATGTATCTTGTCCCCCCACACACTGGCCATGACATGTCTTGCCCCCCATGTCACAGCCCCCTGTCTTGCTGTGACGTGTCTCTCTCCCCTACACACCAGCTGTGATGTGTCCCAACCCCCCATGGCCATGATGTATTTTGGTTCTGCTTCCTACTCATGATAAGTCCCACACTTGTGTTTTCTAGGCCTGAAGGCCCCGACTACCATCACGGTGACCCTCCGGGGGCAGCCCAGCCGTGTCACTACGCTGAGCCAGGCGGCCATGGGGGCTCTTCAGTCCCCACTGGAGGAGCAGCCAATGCAGCCCCATGTAGCTCAGGTAACTTGGGTACCTCGTCTCAAGGGAGGATGGGCTGTGGTGCAGAGGCCATGCTGCTGTCACCACCTACCAGGGCCCATCTCTCCTGGTGGCTGCTGGGGGGAACTGCATGCTGTGGTGCCCTGGTCTGGGAAGCCCAAGTGACCTTGTTTTCCATTCCCAGGGGCCAGGAGACCCCTTTCCCTCCCAGCCTGCCCTGCCAGGGCAGTCACACCCATGGGATTGGGGCTTGACTGTAGCGCAGGGGGGACGTGTGGGAGCCCCAGCATGTCATAGCCATGTGGCTTGGGCTGATTTAGCCTGGCTGAGCCTCTCAGGATGCATTTGATGCCAGGTGCTGCACTGTGTCCAGATGCAAACTCCTTATGGCAGCAACAGTATGGACCGCCCAACACAGAGCCCCAGTGTTGGTGGCCTCTCTGGGGAGGGTGCCTGTCAGAACCAGCCTGGCCTCTGCTCTGGTGCTTTGGGACAATGCTGGGCCTTAAGGACAGGGGAGTCCTTGAGGCCAGCTGTGGTTGAGGTCTCCCAGCTCTGGCCATGGATGTAGCACCCAGCTCCTGCAGGTAAGCAAACATCCCACTCCCACAGAGGCCAAAACCCTAAGGGTAAGGGAAGACCCTTGAAAGGTGTCCTCCCTTTTCCTCACCTCCTTCCCTCCTGCTTTTAACTGCTTCAGGGCAGGCCTGGTATCTACCCAGGAACCTCAGCAATGCCCAGCTCCCACTCTGTCTGCGTGGCAGCTTGAGCCAGGTTGTCAGAGAGGTTGCCAGGCACTGGGAGCCCCAGAAAAGAGATGCCATGGTGATTTGGTGGTACCAGGGGTGTCTGAGCCCCTGGAAGCCTGGCCTGTTGGAATAGGCATGAGGGCTGCAGGCAGTCAGCCTTGTTCATCTGTTAAAGACAAAGCAGAGACCAGCTGGTTCCCTCAACCCCATCGCTGGTGCCATTTCACCAAACTGGTATGATTGAGGAGTATTGCCAGAATTGGAATAGTGGGTCTGTTGAAGGTAATAATAGCGC